CCCCCAAAAAAAAAAAATAAAAGGAGAGAAAATCAATTGATTTTTTTCCTTAGTTCTCTTCAAGAAGATCCAAAATCTCATCATTCTTGAAATTTTAAGTCAAAGTTTCAATTTTTCAGATTTAACACCTCAATGGGTGTCATTTGAAATCAAGAAATTATCATGTTGGGTGCTGTCCAATTGGGACTATTTGCAGCAGGTGTTGTACTCTTTGTCCCTATGGGTATGGCTGGTTGGCACTTAAGCCGTAACAAGATGTTATTTTTCAGCTGTGCTCTTTTCATTACCCTCGCTGTTGGTGTTCATTTGGTACCTTACTTCCCTTCTGTTACTTCTTTCCTTAGCTCCAATAAATCAAGTTCAGTATTACCTTTAGAATTTACTGTAAAAAAGGATTCTTGTTTGTCTTTACTTCATCAAGTATCATTTGATTTTCAAGAATTGAATGAAAATGTGACTAACAGTGTGGAAAATAAGGGTAGTGGTAGAAAAATTGGTTCTTGGAATTGGGTTGAGTCTGAAATTGTTAATGAATGTGATTTTCAAGAATTGAGTAAGGCTGACGCTTCGGATTTGTTAAACGGGTCGTGGGTCGTTGTAGCGGGGGATTCACAGGCAAGGTTAATGGTGGTTTTTTTATTGGAGTTGATATTAGGGAGAAATGAGATGGAGGTGATAAGAGGGGATTTGTTTAAGAGGCATAGTGATTATAACATTTTTGTTGATGAGATTGGGATGAAGTTGGACTTTATGTGGGCGCCTTACGTGAGTAATTTGACTGATTTGATGCTCGGGTTTAAAGAAAAAAGGAGTTATCCCGATGTATTTGTGATGGGGGCAGGGTTATGGGATATGTTACATGTAAATAATGCATCTGATTATGGTGTTTCTTTAAAGTCTTTGAAGGATTCAGTAGTGTTGATGTTACCGGTTTCTTCGCCGTTTGTTAATGAGGGTGATGGAGCGAATGTGCTCCCGATTCGGACGCCCAACTTGTTCTGGTTAGGAATGCCTAAGTTGATACACTCAATGTTGAATACTGATGAGAAGAGGGAGAAGATGAGTGATGTTATGTGGCAAGCTTATAGTGATGAGCTTTACAGAAGTAAGCTGCTTCGACAATCTGGTGGCCCACTGTTTTTGCTCGACATACATTCCTTGAGTAATAATTGCGGAGCTCATTGCACGGATGATGGAATGCATTATCACGGGGCTGTCTATGAAGCCGCTGTACATATCATGTTAAATGGATTGCTTATAGAATCTAATCAGAAGCTATGATGGAGAAATTGTGGTTTTCTGTCGACTAAGTAACTCTGCGACACCCTTCCGCAATGGGAAAGGGCAATATGGTAATTGCTAGAGCTCATACTTCAATATTATCGGTGAATATTTTTTTGCCCCACGTCTTCTTTTGGCAACTGATACTTCAATAGAAAGAATTCTTTGATGGTAGTTCATATTCTTTTCCCCTTGTTCAATTGTATGATTACTGATACTCACACGAATTGTATTCTAGAGCAGGAGAAACCCCTCATATCTCATATCCGATTTTGATGTGATATTGTGAACATATGTAGAACAGATCAATGTTTCTGAAACACGTATAATATTTGAATATCCAATTAAATGATTGCACCTTTATATGGTCTTTTACTTGCTTTTGTATCAAGTTAATCTAATCTCTCCTGAAGTTAGTTAGATGTGATATGATAATAGCTCCTAATTTTTTCTGCCGTTCCAGTTAATTAAAAGGTCGATGGATTAAAATTAAATACTTCACAGACTTGCTATTTCAGTCCACATCTGTTGTTGATTTTGTTGTCGAGAAGTCTAGGATCGTATTCTACTAGAAATATGACCTGAAATTTAAGAGCTACATTTATTTTATGCTTTGGGTAGTTTAGAGATGTCACATCAGTTACTTTGGGGGGGTTTGTTTTCTTTTTTTTTGGGGGNGCAATTAAAGGGAGATAAGCTGCCAAAAAAAATAATAATAATAATAACTTAACCTCAATTTTGCTATTTTGGAGTCAAAGCTAGTTTTGTAAATATATTGGTAGTTGCACAGTCTCACTTGAGTGTCATATGATATGGGTCTTTTGCTTGTTTGGTGCTTGTACTTTGAAGTCTTTAGTCTTGCATTAGAATTTTGAACTTCTTCTCCTAAAAGTTTCCTACTCTCCTGCTAATGTCCCTTTATTATCGAGTCATGTGATTCTATTAGTGTAGAATATGAACTGAAGCGGACATGTTAATATGTCTGCACCAGGCAAAGGACCTGCATACATCATTGCACTATAGGAAACTATTAGCGTGACACACCCTAATCACATTTGACGCTCTTAGGTTATACCCATAAAACTCATAATCTCTTTCTTTGTTTTATCTAACTCTAAACGAATGTGTTTTGCGTCAGTCACTTTGTGGGGAATGCACATGTGCTGAGTCAACGTGTCTGGTTGTAAACCTCCAAGCTTGTTTGCTATGAATGTAAATGAACTTTGTCCTAGATTGCATTTGGAATTTACTTAGAAATAGTTACTTTTCAACTTTCTGTGGTGTGGAGGTGGCTATCTTGAATATGTACATTGTACTTTAGTTTGTTAGGAAGCTTGCACTGGGGACAAAATAAGAAAAAACACCATGGAAATCATATCTTTTGAGTACTTATTATGATGTATAAGAAGGGTGTAGAGTCATAGCTTAGTCCCTTGATCAACTGTGGAACTTACCCACTAGAAAGGGAAGTTGCAAACTAATCTTTCAACAGCATAAAACAGGCCAAAATACAATAGTATTGGGCAAAATAAGAAATTAGTTCATGTCATGATGATCTATGCGGAAGAACAGTTTCCTTGGCGAATCTTCTTGAGGATGAAAGAACAATTACCTTTCTCAGCTGTCATTAACGGAGAATGAATCATAATTCTAGTGAACCCTTAAACTCTGTGTGTTATTCGAAACAACAAGAAGAGGGATTATTGTCTTTTGTTGACCATTATGTTTAAATGGGGATCGGTGAGGTGATGGTTTAGTTTGAGATGGATAGGATAGACTGTCTACATTGCCACTAATGCATATATGTATGCTATATTTTACGGGTTCGAGCCGTGGAAGCAGCCACTAATGTTTGCATTAGGATAGACTGTCTATATTGCACCTTTACGGTGTGGCCTTTCTCGGATCCTGCATGAATGCGGGATGCTTTGTGCACCGGGCTGCCCTATAAAGTATCACTTTAGAAAAGCGTGTGATACACTTTTTTTGCTTCAAGCTCCAAGGACTTTATCATTTTTTTTTGCGCTATCCGCTTTTAGAAACACCAATTAGTTCATAGGACAATAGCACTCCATATGGCCCAAAATGGTTGCTCTTACTGATAATAGACAGTGTCTTTTTCCTGCCTTTCCATTTAAATTAGAAAGATCGATGGATTAAATACTTCAAACACTTGCTTTTTCAGTCCAAAGTGATTTTTGTTGTCAAGAAGTCTAGGATCGTATTCTGCTGGAAATATAAGCTGAAATTTAAGTGCTACATTTATTTTTTGCTTTGGATAGTTTAGAGATGCCACATCAGTTGCTTTGTGGGGGGTGGGGGGTGGTGGAGGGTACCGCAATCAGCTTGTTGACTTGCATTTAAATGTACCCTTGGAGTTCTTACATAGCATCTATTGCAATTAAAGGGATCTAAGCTGCAAAAAAGAAAACTGCAATTTTGCTATTTTTGGAGTAAAAGCTAATTTTTCTTTTTGGTAGTTGTAAGGTCTAACTTGAGTGTCATATGGGTCTTTTGTATCTTTAGTGCTTGTACTTTGAATTTTGTAGTCTTGCCTTAGAATTTTGAACTTCGTCTCCTGAAAGCTTCCTACTCTCCTGGTAATGTCCCTTTATTGTCAAGTCTTGTGATATTTTTTTTTTGATAAAGTAACAGATATTATAAATGGCATCAAGAAGATGCAGAAATATAGATACAAAAGATTTGTTAGCGCCAGTACAAAGAGTTCTATTCTAATGTTAAAGAGCTAACAAAGTCCAAAAAGTTGCCAGGGGAGTTTACAGGTGTTAGGGTACTCCAACTTTACAAAAGTAAAAGATATTTAGCCTTAAGGGAGTGGTTTGGAGTTGCTATTCCATCAAAACATCTCCTATTCCTCTCATTCCAAATACACCAAAAAATACAAAGGGATTAGTTTCCAGATTTTCTTGATGGTTGTACCAACTTTCCAGCTGTTCCAGTTCAAAAAGGCTTCCTGTAAATTCACCCAGTCCACTCCAAAAAGAGACAAAAATATGTTCCATGGATCTGCTGAAACTGGGCAGTGAAGTAGAAGATGCCTGGTTGTTTCTTCATTTTGCATGCACATGTGGCATCTGTTTGTCAAGTGGAAAGATCTTCTAGCTAAGTTGTCTTGGGTCAAACATGCATCATAAAGTGCAATCCAACTGAAACAAATCACCTTTGGGGGTGCTTTTGTTCTCCATATGAGCTTCCAAGGCCAGTTGCCCACCATTTCATTCTGAGCACAATAGAATAAGCACCCTGATTTGACTGAGTATTGGCCATCTGGTTCTACCTCTCATCTCAAAGTGTCTGCTGCTTGGTCATTAGAGGTGATGCTTCCCAATCTAGCCATCAAGTTGAGTAACTCTTCAATTTCCCAGTCTTGCATGTTTCTTCTGAAGATTGGGTTCCAAGAGTTTCCTTCTCTGCAGTGGGAGATGAGGGAGTCCTGGTTGGTGGATATAAGGAATAGGTTGGGATATTCCTCCTGCAGTGATGTGGCACCAAGCCATTTATCCTTCCAGAATCTGATGTGCTGTCCATTCCCAAATCTGAAGCTGCAGTTTCTGGAGAACTCTTCCCATAATTTGCTGATGTTCTTCCAAGGACCAACACCATGTGGTGCTCTTGAGGTTCGGGTACACGAGTGATTGAGTGATTCATGCTTTGCAGTCACTACTTCCTTCCATAATGCTGGCCCTTCTTGGCTATATCTCCATAACCATTTCAACAGCATACATTTATTATGAACAACTAAGTTTCTGATGCCCAGACCACCCATAGTCTTAGGCTGTGTAACCTTGGCCCACTTAACCAGATGAAACTTGTGATCTTCACTGTTACCTTTCCAAAGGAAGCTCCTCCTCAAGGAACTTGTGATTTTATTAGTGTAGAACATGAAATGAAGCGAACATGTTAATATGTCTTAACCAAGCAAAGGACTTGCATACATCATTACACTATAGGAAACTAGTAGCGTGAGTGCGTGACACACCTTGATCACATTTGAGGCTCGTACATCAAGAAAATAACTTTCTGATTGTATGTAATGATGCAAGGTGAGGAAATTTGGCTTTTCTTCCTTCTCCACCCACTGGAAGTCTTGTTGCCTTACTTTCAGCATCCAGAAACTCATAATCTCTCTCTTTGTTATCCACGTTTGACATATGTGTTCTGCAGTAGTCACTGTGTGTGGAATGCACATGTGCTGAGTCAAATGTGTCTGGTGTTGTGAACCTTCAAGCTTGTTTGCTATGACTGTAAAATGAAGTTTGTCTTTTTTTGCATTTGGAATTTATTTAGATATAGTTGTTTGTCTACTTTCTGAGGTGTGGGTGTGGTTATCTTGAATATAATTCTAGTAACCTCTCAAACTCTGTGCGTAATTCGAAACAACAAGAAGAGGGATTATTGTCTTTTGTTGACCATTATGGTTAAATGGAGATCTGTGAGGTGATGGTTTAGTTTTGGACAGATGCGAGCGAGTTGAGTTAGCCTATCTCCAGTGTTTTGAACTTAGCCTATTGAAAGGTTTTTGTAATTCTGCAGTTTGATCTATAACTAGTGGCGGAGCCACATAGAGTTTCAATCCTTTGCTGGAAAATTACACCGTTTAGATAGGTAAAATTATTCTTTTATGTATATATACTATGTATTGAATCCCCTTGAATTATTTGTATTTACTTCTTTAAATTTTAACACCTCTTAATGAAAATCCCGGCTATGCTACTGTCTATAACTGTCACATGATTGCTCATTTATCATAACCTCATCGCCTTATGTTCTTCCTCTATGGTGTAAGAGGAGGAATGCTTTGACATACTGCAACAAATTACTCCATTTTTTATTCAAACTATATTTGGAATACTAGGGTCCATCTGCTTTATTTTCATCTGGCCTTGAGCTGAGGGTCTATCGGAAACAACATCTCTACCTTCCATGTAGGGGTAGGGTATGCGTATATGCTACCCTCTTCAGACCCCACCTATGGGACT